ATTTTTAAAGTAGATCCAGAATGACTGCTTCCTGTTTTACACACAGTCATTCCGAGGTCCATCATCCTCAGAGGCTCACACAGTAGAGGCACCCGCCAGCCTGGAGCAGTGGCATGATCAATGCCATGTAAACAAACCAGGCAGCAGGACCTACTGGAGAAGAGGAAGCCAGAGCATCGAACAACTCAAATTCCCAATTTCCTTCTCAGAACTATGCAGAACAGGCTCAGGACCAGTCTACTATTTTATTTTACTTTATTTTTCTTGCATACACAGGACACGAGGCACTTTGATGTCAGTTCTCTGCATTCATGGTCCTACAGTCAGACTCCTCCGTAAACACCCAGGTCTCTACAGAGAGTTGAGAGTGCTTGGCTCCACAGAGAGTCCTCCTTCCACAGGTCCCTCAAGGCAGAGGGATCCCTTCTGTCCTCTCAGCACATGTGTATTCTATACACACCACACACCAAGCAACAGTTTACATCCCCTCTCAGGACACTCTGACCCCTTGGATGCAAGGGGACAAGGACCACATGTTCCTCCATCTCCATGCCTCCAGCAACTTGCTCCAGTGGCTGGAACATAGTTAAAATCCCAATATCTGTTTATATGAAAACAAAACAATCTGACCCCTGCCACCACCAACAAAGACAAATAAATAGTAAAACCCCAGTCTCTTTAAGTGTATGTTGGTCTCTGACAAGAAAAAGAGACTTAAAGCACAGCAAAGTATGGGGTTAGGAAGGGGGAGTGCTAAGGTTAATCACGTGGAAACGATGAGACAGGGTTTGAGGTCCTTGACCAGCTCCGCCACCAGCAGCCCCAGCCACTTCTTCTCTGGGGCTCAATATTTGTGCATTTAAGTGAAAGGTTTGAACAAAATGATTTCTAAAGTCCCTTTCAGCTTGTAGGTGGGAAACAAAGCAGGTCCTGGCAAGGTCACTGTGGTTCCTATTAGCAATGTGCATTATCTGTGGGCTCCCGCAGATGGTATCTCTGCTTTGTCAGGTTTAGACTTCAGAGTCTGAAATTTCTGAGCCATCTTCCAAAATCCGGTATCAGGAACAGCTGGAAAATAACTTGGCAGAGAGTGTGGGTTCCAAAAGGCTCCACCCTACTCTGTGAGTGACAGGGCAGGTGCCTTTGCCATGGGTAGTGGAAGGCGGAGCCTCTGCAGGCAGGGCTGCCGGAGATGCCTGAAGGGTTTTGAGGACAAGGCTGGACTAAAAGCAAATGAGGTGGGGGCTGTCTGCAAAAAGAAAGGGGTTAATGAACCCAAGAGGACTGTCAGCAGAACTCCAAAGCCTTTCATTTTGCAGAAAGTGGAACAGACCTAGAGCCCTTTGGGTGCCAAGTGAAGGCAACTGAGCATTGGCACCAGAACCTGAATACAGGCTCTCCCTGAGGCCCAAGTCTGCTCTCCTGCTACAAACCTGGTCAGGAGTGGGCTCTCAGATCCTTAGGTCTACAAGGAGGGGATGCTGAAGTCTGCACACGGGCTACACAACTGGACAAAGCTGCACCTAAGCTTCATTCTATTGATAGACTTCTCCTGGAGCAGCCGGCCAGCTGGTCCCTCGGCCCAGGCAGAGTGTGTACATACACATGCAGGACTTAGCAGAAACACTGGGAGGACAAGACGATGGATGGGTGAGGGTTAAGGATTAGATTCCCCATAGGGCAAAGCCTTGTCCAAACACAAACCCTCATGGGCAAGGTCTTCCGGCCAGGAGGTTCAGACAGACACACATCCCGAAAGACCCCTTCCTAAGGCACTGCTAACTGACTGCTTGCCTCTAGGATGCGGTCCTGGCTTGGGGGACTGTTTGGGGGAGAGAAGAGACAGAGACCCACCTGACATCAAGCCCATGACACCCCTCAGGGTCCAGGAACCAGAAAGACCCTTACTGCTAGGCCCAGAGAGGAACCTGTCTCCCCATACCTGGGAACCAAAGTCTCTCCATGCCGGTGACTGCCAATTCAGTGGAGGTCCCCAGACTCCAGGAAGAATGCTGCTGACCACCACAGGGGAAGTGGCTAGCATGAATTTCCACACAGAAACACAGTCCAGTCTACACTTAGCCAGCGGGCTGCTTAGACGTTAGCTTCTGCTGCTGCCACCCAGTCTACCATCACCGCCAGCAGCACTTCCTGGTTTTCTCTTGCCCAGTGCTCCCCCACAGTGAAACCACCTGCCAGTGAGGAAGATGGGAGGAAGACCCTCCTCAAGCCCAGACCCTGGCCCTGCCTCTGCCCCCACGGTATCACCTAAACAGCAAATGCTGACCCAGCAAAAGGTAGGGACAGCACACTTCTGGGTCTGTGAGAGTCCAGCAAGACAGGGCAAGGATCCCTCTATTCATTCTTTCATTTCGTTCTTGAGCCAAAGACGGAACTCTTTTCACCCAGACTGGAAGTCAAGATATAGCCATCCATCCACAGGACCACATATATACTAGTGTGTGAACATACATGCACAGAATGCATGTACACACACGATTATATGTGATATCTATTCTGCAGAACATTTGGGGGCGAGAGTAATGACTGTCTTGCATGCATGGGAACCTAAACTCTCAGAAGTTAAGCTTCACGTCCAAAATCAGAGAGGCAGGGACCATGACTGGAGACTACAAGAGCCCCCCACACACACACTCTGCACTCACGTCTGGGTAGAGAGAGGCAGGGAGCTCGAAACGCTGAGTTTTGGTCAGTCGTTTCAGGCAACCGTGGGACTTCACATAAAAGGCCTGGCCTACACTGGACTCCCACGTAGTTGACCGCGGTTCGTGTCTCGGACCCGGTGGCTTAAACTCACGCCGGGGGCGTGTGCGTGCGTGCCCAAGATCCCAAGAGGAGAATGGAGGAGAAGGGACTGCAGTGTGACCATCCCCCCTGGGGGGTGATTTCTCGCTTTCTGTCTCTCTGTCTCTCTCTGTCTGGCGAGCGCACGGCGCCCTGTAGCAAAAAAAGAGAGAAAAAAAAAAAACACCTCTCAAATAAAAAGGCCTGGCCTAGGCGTGTTCCGGCAGAAAGGGGAGGTGCTGGAGGCTCAGAGTGACCTGACAGTTCACAGCCTCTCACACTTTCCACCTCGGAGCCAAGAGGCAGTTTCCACAAATGCCCAGCAGGGGGCAGTGCACCTTGCCTTTTCCAATCCCGGGGCGCTCTTGGGCAGCACCTGGGAAAAGAAAAGCCGGGGGCTTAGCCTGCAGCTTCTAGGAGCAGGCCGGGGTCCGACAGGTAGTAAGTGCCCAAGACACGTCTAGAAGCTGAAGAGCCTGACGGAATAGAAGAATTTAAATTCAATAGTAGAAACGGGAGATGGAAGGGGAAAAAGGGGCATTTTGGCCCCTGTGGTGCCTTCTATCCTCGAGGCCTTGTCAATGAACGCGACGTAAGCACCCACTGCGTGCCAGGCGCGGTGGCCACGACTGGACAACCTTATTCCACACTAATCCCGTCGTCTTCCTCACTGGCGAGTCCGCTTCCTCCACCCCACTCAGTCGCAGAGCGGGGCTGGGCAAACTCTGTCTCCCTGGGGAACCATGTGGGCACAAATCTGTGGGGCATGGGGACCTGCAAGGGGGGTATGCCGGGAGAGGCGAGATGGTCCCCAGAAACATATGAAAGCCCCGCAAAAGCATAAAGCGAGGACGCAGCGACAGAGTTGCTACCCTCGGGGTCACAGCTGTCTCCCTCTGCGGGACTTACTAGGCCCACGAGACAAGACGCAGTGACCTGCCCAGCCCCCACCCACTCTCGCGCGTCTGGGTGCGCACGTGTCTCCTTGCAGAGCTCGCCATAAATCCCGCGCGCAGCAGGCGCCAGCTGGGACCCTAGCGGAGGAGGGAGCCCAGACTGGGCGCTCAGGCCTACGCGCCAACAGAGCCAGGGGATCCCGAAAACCTACTCAGGACTCCGCCGGGGGCAAGGCAAAGGCGCGTACAGGCGCCTCTATGCCAAGTCCCTGCGTAGCCACGACCCAGGGCTTTCAAGTTCAGCCGCGCTTCCTCGGGCAAGGTCACGCTCGAACACTGACGCGCCGAGAAGAGCAGTGGAAAGTTGGGCCACCGTCCCGACTGGGACCCAGCCGTATCCCCACCAGGAAGCCTTGCCCCAGCGCCACTGCTCTTTACCCCTAGGTGCTCCTCAAGGGGAGACGTCCTGCCCTGTGCAGGTCACACAAGCGAGAGATGCAGCCAAGTTGCCAACTTTTGTTAGATTATTTTTTGGCAGCTGCTGCGCCTAACGGGGTTGGGAGGACTCGGAGTTTCGAAACGCTATCCACACCGCCCCTGCCGGGCTCCCCTACGCCCGCCCGAACCCTCTCCACCCCCGACGCGGGGTTCAGCTGCCGGGTCCCAGGCGCCAATTTCGCCCCCAGATCCGAAGCAGCATGGGCTGGAGGAGCCCACGGGGCCAAGAGCCACCTCTCGGGTCTGCGCCTGCTCTCAGCGGATTCGAAGACTCGATCCGGATACCGTCCCAGGGCTTCTTGTCAGACTCACCCGCGGCCTCCGCGCGCCTCGTGGTGTCTCAGCCCATGACCTGGGTTCTACTCCAGGGTGCTCGAGCTCTGCCGCCCTGTTAGGGGTCTCCCAGCCGGTGCCGGGTGGAACGCTGTCACTGGAGTCGCTCCAGGGACGGCTGACCTGACCTGGGTAGGCTCCCCTCTGGGTCCCTCTGGTAGCTCGTCCATGAGAACCGAAGACCCCGATCCCCAGCCTCCTCCGCGACCTTCTTCCTTCCCCAAAGACCCGGCTAACAGCCGCGGATGGGGAGGGGGTCTGCCTACCTGTGTCTTCTTCCTGGTGCCTGGGGTCTTCAGCGCCACCTCCACTGTCACACCCTCTAGACTCTTCCCCACCTCTTCTGCTCTTGGGTCCCGACCGTCACCCCTCCACTCGGAGAACACAGCCCAAACTGCCTGAGCCCCAACTCGGGCGGACGCAACCCCCAGCACACCCCGGGTAGCTTTCGGCTCCGCGCGCACTCACCGCGGCTGGAGACAGGCTGGAGTTACCCGGCTTTGGGCAGGAGCGGACTCCCAGAAGAATAAAAGGGGGATGGGAGTGTCCCGAACACTCGCCCCCTTTCTGGCTCACATCGCCTCTCCCTTCTCTCTCTCCTCTTCCTCCTCCCTCTGGTCTGGGGCTCTTTGTCTTTGCAAAGTGTCGAAACTGTCTGGCATAGTGGGGCTCGGCCGGCGGAGGCTGGAGCCGGGAATCGGGGAGGCGGGGTGAGGATGGGAGCGGTCTCGGAACACCTTCCCCCGGGTGTAACGGGAGGGGGAGGCGGGGCGACCGCGCAGG